TTCGTTATGCTTCAGAAGATTGGAGACTGTTGAGAATTAGGCTTGGGGTTGATTAATGACTGTGCATTGAGTCCCCTATACCGAATTTTATTGTTGTTAACAACCATTTGATGAATAAATATGAGAGATGCCCTCTCAAAAAAAAAAAAAATTAAAAAAAAAAAGCTGCAGGAGATCCCACTTCACATTTACTAGGTTACCAGCTACAATCAGGAAAATGGAAGATGGCAAGTGTTGCCGAGGACGTGGAAACCTGGAACCCTTGTGCCTCGGTGGTGGGAATGTGCAAAGGTGCAGCTGCTGTGGAAAACACTGTGGAGGTTCCTCAAAAAGCTAAACATAAGAGTTACTGTGTGATCCAGCAATCCCACTTCTAGGCTGATATCCAAATAAACTGAGAGTATGGTGGCAGAGAGGTATTTTGCACATTGGTGTCCTCAGCTGCACCATTCACAACAGCCAAAAGGTGGGAACAAGTCAAGGGTCACTGACAGGAGGATAGACAAAAGGTGGTATAGTCATCAAACGGATTATGTTCAGCCACAGTAAGGAATGAAGTTCCGACTCATGCTGCCATGGATGAACCCCGAGGACATGATTCCACATGAAGCCAGCCAGACACAGAAGGAAAAACACTGTAAGATTCCACTTATGTGGGGTCCTAGAGGAGTTTAATTAGTGGAGACAGGCAGTAGATGGTGGGTGGGGGTGGGAATCACCGTGACACAGGCAGTCTCTGTTTGGGATGCTAACAAAGTTTTAGAAACAATGTTGACAGCTGCAAAAGTCTATGATGAAATTAAAGCCACTGAATTGTACATTTAAAATGGCAAATTTCATGTTATCTGCATTTTATCACAATTAACAAATTAATAGCATAATATACCAAAAACAATTGAACTGTACATTTCAGTGGGTGAATTGTGTGGCATGAGAATTATAGCTCAATACAGCTGTTAAAAAGTTGCATTCAAATGCTTAAACCAACATCCGACAGGCCCAACTTTGTTAGTCTAGGGGCCACAATAGCTCCTTTTCTTTTTAATAAAGGTAAAATGCCAAGAAATTTAGAAATCTAAAAGCCGAATGGTAGCAAAGACCTAACATTCAGTCACGATGTAATAAAATAGTCACACCCTGACCTGGAAAGAATTTCCCAGGCGTCAAACCTCATCAGCACAACAGACATTGTCTTTACCAAGGTTCCTCGGATGAAGTCAGTAACGTATGTTGTCAAACCAAGAAGGGAACACGTTAAACTGCATAGGACCCAGCAGCCACGAGCACTCAATGCCCTGTGTTCAAAGGGGCCGTGTGGGTGAGGCACAGGTTGGCAATGTTATCACATAAACACACCGCAGTACGGCAACTTGTGATTAAAAGTGCTGCACTCTGAAAACCCTAACACAGGGATGAAATCGGTCAGTTGATGAGTATTGTAACTTGAGGTGAAAAAGCTGTCTGCACAGCTATTGGCAAAGTCGACGTTTTGCAATATTCACGTTGTGACTACACGCATCCCATGACAAGGCGTGCAGTCAACGGGATCGAGGCTTGAGCAGAGAGCTCACTTACTGGTTCAGTGAGGGTGCTGTCCTTTTCTAAAAACTGCACGACACAGTATGCCAGCTAAAAAGTAAAAGGAGAAAAAGGATTAACATCCCATTTTGATGGGAATGCTCTGTGCTTCTTCTAGTATCCCTGTTAAGCACCATCCTCTGGGGATACAGGGCCTGATATGATCAGGTGCTGCCCCTTGGGTGTGTCCCCCAGCTGGGTGGGTGTGGACTCCCCTCAACAGGCCCTGCGGGAGGCTGTGAGTGGGACTTGCAGGGAGGGACACCTGGACTGATACACAAAAGGTCATTTGCCCTGATCAACATTGGAGGGCACAGCATAAAGCTAAAAAAAATCGGGAAACAGTCTTTCAGACCAGTATCAACAAGTCAGTTCAGTTTTGATGGTGATCTTTCTTATGATCTTTTTGGATTTGTGTAATGAACAAGTGACCTAATAGCTGGGAAAACTAAATTAAACTCTGGTTCTATCTTAAATCTCTGAACTATTAATTGCTTCTCTAGAACAACTGACAGGGTAAAACAACTTTCCACCCGGATGGATGGGAAGATATCACCAGGTAACAGAATCCGAGAAAAACTCTAAGCAAACTATTTCCCTGGAAGTCGATGTCATTAAATTCATCCAGAGACATATTTTCTGTAATTTATCCCATGCTGCAAACTCGCACAGTGAGGCCCTGTGGAAGGGGGTGGCTGCGTCTTTTAATTCATACAGGCCTCCGCGGTGCCAGGCCCTGTGACCAGCTCTGCCTGTGAGCCTGCAGTGCCTGCAGCTGACACCAAACCTCCCCCAAATCTTCAGGTGTCATAATCAGCGTAGCTTAAGTTCTGGCTACACAGAACTTAGAATAAGAGTTTAGGAAAAACTGAATCTCCCAGTAAATGGAGGCAACTAAGCAGTTAGTAACCTGTAGCTGTCATAACCCATAGCTTTTTTTTAAAAAAACAACTTTCTCTTAGGTCATTTCATTGACCACAGACTAGGCTTTTTCTTTAAAGTATGAGAGATTCAAACTGTGCTGTAGAAAATCTCCCTTGGGGGAGGCGTCCTTGACTCTGTCCCTCGACTTGGCTGCTCCCTTTTCTATGCTTAGAGTGGATTTTGAATTCTCCATTCCTGCGACTTTTTTGACTTCCTTAAAAAACAATCCCTTTACCCCCTTGACCCTTCAGTGGTCACTAGAATCTAAATCAATAATGTGATAAAGGGACGAAAACACTCCCTTCTAAGGCTGGGATTCAGTATCTCGACTTCAACAATGTTCAAGTGGAGACCACTGTGCCGACGGGGCCCCCCTTACCTGTGGATGGTAGACGCTCAGAGACTTCACTTTGTGCAAAGGGAGTAATACCTTCAGTAAGAAAATCTTGTGCTCTTCTTTCAGTGGTAAGGCGAATCCATTAATTATACTGTGAAAAACAGTTTACCCAAAATTTGAATGTATACACATTCTCGATTTAAATAAATCTTTCTGCTTTTTTCCTTAGTTTTGTTTTCAGCATGAAAACCAGCAAGCAGAATATATGATTCAGAAGAGGACATCAGAGGAAATTAAAAAGAAAACTAAACACCTACAAGGAAACATAGTCATTTTCCTCTGTGCAACTACAGCATAATTTTAAACTTCTGCGCTTACAGGCCATTGCCCAGACCAGCGGGCATCCCTGCGGCTGAAACTTCCTTCCTTGGGCAGGCCGGGAAGACGGGGCAGCTCAGGGGGGTTCCTGTGCCCCAAGTGTCGCCCACACCCAGCACATTCCCTCCGCCTTCGCCTTTCTCTAAGAATTCATGCTTTCCTGTGGAAACCTGGGCTCTTTAGTGTAATGGAGGCAAAACAGAGTCCGAGTGCGTGGCACGGGTACCAGTTAACATCAGCAAGAAGGCTATTCCCTTCTTCAAAGAAAGGGGTCCTACTGTTGACCTGCAAACCAAAGTTTTTGTCTCTGATATCAAATAGTTTATCTACTTGGTTTTATAAATCAGGCAAGACCAGATTAATGTTACTGAGAGCAACAGCGGCAGTTAAAATGATTTCAAAAGTGGTCCTCCATCATTCATGCAGCTCGGGCCCGTGAGAGAGCTGAGGGGTTAGTCTTAAGTTGCTGTGGAAGCTGCTGTGCTCACTCCTGTGTGGGGAGGACCCTCAGGATCACACATCTCTTCTGGAAGGACAGACTACCACTCCTAGGAGAGGGAGGGCACAGAGGCCCTGTGTGTGATGCGGCAGGCTGTGCTGAACGCTTCACATGGACCCCCACCCCTGTAAACCCAGAGGGTGAATATGACTGTCTTCCCATTTCATGGATTAGGAAACAGAGGCAAAGAGTGGTTAAGTAAGGCTGCACAACTAGGAAGGCCACCCACTGGACAGCTCACTACGCTCTACTCAGAGAGAGAAACCTGCGGAGTGTGGCAAAACTAGTTAAGGTAGAATTCTCCATCAGGACTAACACTTTTTTCAAATTATACCTAAAACAGCAAGGATAGTTGTTCTCAGAACTACTGGATCACAGATGGACCAGATGACAGTATTCCTTGAGAAAAGCTTCCTGTGCTCATAGATTCGGGAATCACTAGATGAAACAGGAATACACCAGACTCTTCCTGCAGGGTCCCTCAGACCCCGTCACACACTGAATCCCAAGGGAGGTGCTGGAGAAAACGCACCTCCGAGCCTATTGTGCTTCGGGATGCTGAGGGACACTGCTTGGGAAACACTGGGTGAGGAAGTCGGGCAGAACATCTGCAGGTCATCGGATTTTAAAAAATATTAGTAAGCAAGACTTGGATTAAGATGAAATTTTTGAAACGTTATAAGTATACATGTGAATAATTTATAAAATCAAAGCAACTTGAAATAGTAGCATTTACTCACTACCCCAAAGTATAATAAATGATTTATTCTTCTAAGGGTCAAATATAAATCTTCTTAATGTGACTATTTTTAACATTGCTCTTGAGGAAATAAAATTGAAATAGTGTTTCCACAGTAATGCTATTGAGGTGTATGAACATGTACGTGAGCACCCATGCTAATGGGAGATCTGCCATTTGGTGACTTACAATCCAAGAGCATTTTCAATTAAGTGAGATCTTACTTCTTTTGGAGAACAGTTTAAGTTGCTTGCTTTGGCTGGGGGTGTGGGTGGCCCCCACCAACAGGCTCATTCTGCTATGAATTCCATCTATGGACATTATCTCCACATAATGCAGACGACTTACCTTCCCAATATTTCCAGTAATTCTGCTATGCCATTGTGATGCTCTGTTTCATAAATAAACCTAGAAAAGGCAATTGTCATTTAGAGTTAGTTAGACACTGAAATAATGTTTGGAAAGACTAAAATCCTCTAAAGAAAAAACAGTGTTTTTAGGAGGAAAGCCATGCAGCCACATGACAACAAGCGTTATCTACTTGTGAAAGCCATCCCGGGGCTCAGCTCACTGCCAGCAGAGACTCCTCGAAGTGCGGACGTGTGGAAGTGTGGGGGGCAGAGAGCATGGGTCTGCTCACAATTTTCCTCAGCATTTTATCTTTAAAGTTTGCAAACACAGAGAGAAGTTGGAGGACTTTCACAGTGAGCACCGGTACTTCATTCAGCCCCCTCCATCCCACAAGCACCAACCCGCGTCTGCCTCTCACACATCCCACTGTCCGTCCCTAACCTGCCTTAGGTTTTGGCCGCGTTTCAGCAGGGGTTGGCGTCTTCGAACTCTAAAATCCCCAGCGTTTCGCCCAGTCTCCGCGAAGGCAGAGGGTGCTTCCCCACCACTGGGGCCGCCCTGCCTGCTTCCTCCCCGACACCCCTGTGCATCCCCTGCGGCTTCATGCACCCCGCGGGGTCCCTGGCAGCAGCTCGCTTCCCCCGCCGGGGCGCCCCAGGCGCACGCAGCCTGCGTCCCAGGCCCGAGCCTGGTATCGGCCCGGGGTGGGAAACCCGCGTGCCTAACACAGTGGGGATGACAAGGGACAGTGACACGAGGCAGGAAACGCCTCCGCCCTCGGAAGCTGGGCCCCGCTGCCGGCGTCTGTCCGACCCGGGGTGCGGCGCTCTGCCGGGGGTGGGCGTCTGCAAAGGGTCCGACCACAGCCCTGGCAGCTCCACACCAGACGCGGGGGTCTGCGCCCACTAAAGGGTCCGACTTAAGGGTCATTGTTCGGAACAAATGGGGGTGATCCAGCCGCGGGAAGCGGCGCCCCGGCGATGCGCCTGGGCCTCCCGCGGGCGCGGCTAAGGGTCCCGAGGGCTGGCACAGCTGCAGACAGACCTTCAGGGCGCAGGGGTGGGCCGGGGACGACTTGGGTGCAAAGGAAGGGCGACACAGCATCTAGGAAACACGGCGTCCTGTTCTGACTGCAGCCGCGTGCCCAGCTGGGACCCCCATTATGTAAACGACCTGTGGGGAACTTGGACGTTCAGAGGGAAGCCACGTACACTGCAGGTGAGGACGGGCAGGGGCGGACCCGGGGTGCTTCACACCAGCGCAGGCCGGCGGGGGCAGGACAGGGCCTGGTTTTGGGATTCCCAGCGGTCTCGGCTGTGGGGTCCTGTGCCCATCGGCCTCTGCCCCTCTCTCCCCTTCCTGGTCTGGCGACTAAGGAGGGACCCTCTGGCCTCTGTGGGGCTTGGGGGCACTTCCGGTCGCCATCTCCGCCTGCACACCGCCCTCACCCTGGAATTGCGGCTTGACCACTTGATCTGCCTGCCCCCTTATCCCAGAGGGACCGGCACACTGTGCCTGTCACTACTAGGATTCGTCACTACCTTGGGCCATCCTGGAGCCAGAGGACTTAAGAGGTAGGCTGTCCTGAAAAGCCAAAATCCGCAGGATAAACTGCTCCTTTATTTAGGGTATCTTCCAGGGTTGGTAAGAAACTACAGTTAACTGTTCCATCTCTAACATCCATTTGGTGCCACCATGGGCCAGGCACTGGGGGTGTGTGCTAAAGCCCCATAGCAGACTGACCTGTCCACCAAGCCAGGGAGGCTTCCTGGTGCAGGGATGTTTCTGGAAGCTGGCGGGTGATGCAGGGTGGGGTTGAGAAGGGGTGGCAGGAAAGAACATTCTGGAGGTTGCCAGGTGCTGGTATGAGGGCCTGGAGTGTGCGCAGAGGCAGACACAAGGCCGCTGGGACCTGTGGCGCCCCAGGGCCTTACCCAGGGCCCACACATATGCACCCAAAGAGCATCAATGCTGGGCCACTTGGCGGCAGCAGAGATGAAGGGATGCGGTTAGTTCAGAGGGGTCCAGGGCTCAAGGCCCTTGGAATGTGACAGAAGGTTCTTCCTGAGCCATTGGGCTGTGCCCTCCTCCATGTGAACTCGGACAGGACAGCTTCTGTGACCAGATGACCAGCCCCTTGTTCCTGCAGGCCTAGGGGAGGCCATGGCTGCTAAAAAGCCACAGGCCTCCACCTGCTGCTTCCAGCAGGGTCTCCAAACCTCTGAGTAAGCTCAGACCTTCTGAGATTTGCTAAAGACACTGCTTTGCTCCTCACGCCCCTTCTTTCACTGAGTTCATCAGAGAGGCTGAGGGAAGGTGCAGGCGGGTGGAAGCAGCTGGCTCTGGACAGATCGATCTGCCCGCACGTTGGAGGGAACCACACCCGCGGGAGCCCAACATTTCAGTGAAAATCCAAACGCGGGCGGGAGCGTGGGGAGGCGCAGGGGAGTGGGCGGCGGCGGAGGGGACCGGCCCAGCCCAGCGCAGGGGCCTGGCTGCAGCCTGGGGTCCCCTGTGCCCGGTGGCAGGCTGCTCAGAAACAGCCACACACTCGCCAGTCACTTGTCAAAGGAAATGCTGAGGACCGTGGAAGCGTGGAAGCCGACATTATCCAGAAAGGAAAGAAAGGTCACTCGCACACACTGACTTACCTATAAAATATATTATTTATCTGTTTTCTGATGTACGCTCTTAAGCCTAGGAATTTTCCATAGATTCTGTGGAGGGTAGTTTTAAGGAAATCTCTCTCCCGAGGATCTTCACTGTCAAAGAGCTCTAAAAGCTTCACGGAGAAAAAGATACTGAGTGAGCCAGTGTTCCCTCCTGCGCCTTAGGGGTTTTGTAGATTCAGCTAATTTGTGCCTTACCTGCAATACAAACTTCTGATCAATATATTTCTTCGCTATATTAGGTTGGAAATCTGGAGACTCTAAAAACCTTAAGAAAAATTCATAAACAAGCTAGGAGAAAAGAAAAACAGTGAGTCAAATAACATGGTATTTTATTAGATGGAGATTAAAAATATACCATGAGCTCAATCTTTGTCTGCAAATATTAGCCTTTTAGGAAAAAGCCATTTATCTGTAGAATTATTGCCAAATTACATGGTGCAATTACAAATGATGAGGGTCATTGTTTTATTTAGCTAAGAACCACAGGCTATACCCTTAAATGGCATTTAAACAAAATGATTTTCATGGCTGATGTCACCAGTGCTTAAATTATCCTGCTCGGAGACCACAGTGCACAGGAGCCACATGCTGGCTTTGACCAAATCCTGGGTGGATTTGCAGCCTGTCACCTACAAGTGTTTTGGCAGAGAGCAGGTCACAGACGCAGTTGTGGAGGCTGGGATGTTCCTCCCCTTCCCGAGTGGGAGGCATGCCGCCATGGTCACACAGCGACCCAGACGCCTGGGGAGGGGTGGGGTGCTCTGCTGCTGCTTTTCCCTTTGCTCCCCACCTAGCTCCCCCCGTGTTCTCCTCTCCGTTTCCCTCCTACGGCGGCCCAGACCCCTGACCTAGCATGTGAGCACACACTCCGCTCGCACTAGGCCCTGCCTTCTCGTGGGTGTCCTGCCCAGTCAACCTTTCAGCTTACAAAAAATGTGTGAGAAAAAGGTGTCCGTCAGCAGGTGGGCTTTGAGGCACACAGCGGGCACATGTAAGTCTAAGTACCAAAATGGGGAAATGTCTGCATGTGTCTTCCAGGCCTCCGTTCAGTGGCTGTTATTTCCATTAAAAATGTATCAACAATTCCCTGTCTTTGTAGTTTGTGTAAAGTATTCAAACAAACTAAACACCATTATGTTTTCTCTCTTCTGCTAAAACACTTCTGACCTACGCACAGGCCTGTGGGTCTGTGGCCCTGTGGGTCAGAGGCCCACTTGTACACAGCCAGAGTGAGTGCACTTGCTTTGGAGAAAAACCCCACATGTAACCCACACCCGTTTCTGGGCACTCCCAGAGCTCAGTACCTGTAGATGAGGCCAGGCTGCTTCTAACGTTGGCTCGTCTTCCTCTGGGTCAAATTCTGCTCCCGTAGGATTGGAGGAAGGTGGTAATGTTCGAAACATATTAACTGCAAACTAAAACCCACATATTCTAGAATTATAACCAGGACATTAAAAATATTTACAGAGAACGTTAAAAAAAAATCTTACATAATTCCAGTGATAGCTGCTTTGGAGTTATCTGGCTTGCCTTTATTCTAAAACCCAGAAGCCCAATAAGAACCTGGTCACTATGGTATTAGGAGGCACGGCCATGGACAGGTGGCCACAGAAGACTCCCACTTGGCTCTGGGCTGCCAACCAGTGCTGACGGGCAGTGGTGGCTTCTAAGGTCTGTGTCACGTCTCGTAAGTAGAAAGCAAGGAGCATGTTCAAGGTGCTGGTAAGAAAAGGCTGAGATTGGGAAGGAAAAGCAGGGCTCAAGGAACTGAGGACGGGGGCGGTGGAAGAGGCTGCACTGCGCCGGGCCTCCTGGCCCTCTGTGGTCACCGAACAGGACGGGAACAGTTGAGACAGAGCGGCTTCTGAGCGGGCAGCTAGGGGATCGTGCCCAGAGAAGGAGCTGCACGCTAGCAGACAGCCTGGCTGTGTGTCCAGGATGGATGGCAAGGGTTTCTCTTTGTTTGGACTTAAAAACAAGTGACTCAGAAAGAAGAAATTTCTCAGGAGTTTGAATGATTCCCTTGTATGCTCACTACCTTTTCTCTGATTCGCACCTTTCTGATGCCCGTCAACACTGCCCCCCACTCCCGGCTCATTTATTTTCAACTGCAAAAAATCAGTGTGTTTTACAACAGACGTTTTCTACATAAAACTTAGAATCCTTTGATGCAAGGTACATTTTAATGCCTGTATGGTTAACATGAAAACTGAGATCTCTAATCAAAGCCCAACATACATTGAGAGATTTGTCTATAAATACAAAAGTAGTTTTCTTATATATCGATTTATGGTCTATTTTTCGTTCACATAGTGACTTAACTATCACTTACCTGACTGAATCTTTGAACCCACCATGTGCCACTTACAGAGCTGGGCTCTGGGCGCGGCTCTGACGGACGACCGAAAGCCCCGCTCCCACAGCACAAAATCAGAACACCTGACGTATAAGATGAAGTCTGACTGCGATACGCAGAAGGTAAGAGCGGAAGGTCCGGGGGACAGACATACGGTCTTGTAAAGACCAAGCTAAAGCTCAGAGACACCCATTGTGTTTCTTCCTGTCTGTGTGGTTACAACTCCAAACCTCACCACCATTTTTCACGAAGAAAAAGATTCTCTCTTCAAAACTCTGCTGTTAGAGCCCGGACGTCCGGCGCCTGCTGTCTGCATGCATCTTCTGGGACAAGGAGCAATGGGACGGGACAGAGGCAGCACAGAACGGAAGGGGCCTCCAGAAACCAGTGGTGAAAAACATCTTCTGGTAGAAATGAGTAATGCTCCTAAGATGTAAGTAGAAAAAAACTTTGGGACCTGTGAGTGGGTATGTGTCCAGGATCCTGGAAGCGTCCTCCCAAACAGGTGACTGAGGACAGAGGCCGTGACGGGTGCTGCCAGGCAGACAGGGCTCATCCTCGGTCACTGGCCTCTTCCCCAAGCCCAAGGGAGAGAACAAGGTGACGCTAAGGGCCTGCCCACCAAGGAAAGGCCATGCCCGGGCTTGCAAGGGGCAGCAGAACCGACCTGCCACCGCCAGCCACTGCCCTGTCCTTCCCTGAATGGGCTGTGGCATTCCCGAGCTGGGGATTTCTACCCTCTCCCTCAAAGCCAAATGCTGGCAGGCTCCAAGAGGCACCCAGAGATGGAGGTGGGAGGTGCCTTAAAGAGGGAGGGGGCACCCTGCTCCATGCAGGAGGCAGAGCCACAGCGCCCCTGGGTGGTGGACATGTCTGAGCACTGTGCTCGCCTCTTCCAGGGACCTGCTGGAGTAGCTGTGACACTGGTGTGCAGTGCAGCTCAAGGGGATTGTGGGCCACCTCCTGCAAGGCTCCCGTGCCTTCACATGAGGGACACAGAGGTCAGAGGGGACGGCAGCAGGGGCCGCCCAGGAACTGCCACGGGAGTGCTCGGCTTTCGGGGTGAGGGTGGTGCGGCGGGGGGCCTTGTGGCACTGTTGGCAATGCTTGGAGGCCACGCCCCCAGGCAGCTGCTCTCCCCTCTACCCAGGGCCAGCCCTTGCCTCCACACCCCAATTGCGGGACCCCCAGGCCTGGCTGTCTCGGGGGAGGGGCAAAGACGAGGTTGTGGGTCTGGGATTCCAGCGTGAGCCTAGAGGGAAAAGCCACACCCAGAGGGGACTGTGAAGGGGCAGCAAAGTAAGACTTAACAGATCATGGCTAAGCAATGGCTGAAAAAAATAAAATGCCCCCAGCGTGGTGGCTAGCCTTAGAGTCATCCAGTCAGACAGTAATCTGAGTGTCCCTGCAAGGTGTTTAGGAGGTGTGGTTCACATCTCTAACAGCTGACTTTAAGTAAACGAGATCACCCTCCAGAACGTGGGTGGGCCACCCCACTCAGCCAAACGTCTTAAGAGCAGAACTTGGTTTCCTTGAAGAAAAAATCCCGCTGTGGCCAGCAAGGCAGCCCCTGCCCATTTCCAGCCCACAGAGCTCGGGCTGCCCAGTCGGACCCCAGAAGCATGAGACAGTTGCGCCCACAGGATCCATCTCTCTCTGGCTGTTTCTCTCCATCCTGCTGGCCCCCCTCTCCGGCAGAACTCTGACACACAAAGCAAGTGGGGACGCTCCAGTAACTTGGTCGTATTCTCCCAGCAGTAGAGCTAATGGTTCCAGCTTCCAGCTGAAGGCCCACTGTGCGGTGTCTGGTCCGCTACGGACGGTCCCCGTGCTGTGCACATTCACGGAATCCCAGATGCTGAGTTAGGAGTCTGCAAGGGCATGCAGATCGACCTACTTTTAACCCAAATTCCTCTTTCCAGTGTCCTTGAGGGACCTTCATCCTAGAGCGAGGAAGTTTTATTACTGGCCAGCTCTAATTAAAGAAGTTATTTCTTTCATGCAACAACAAAATTTCACTGTAATTTCTACTCACCTTTCCTTCTATATTACATTGCGTTAATTTAATGTCATCCCTAGAAAAGATTAAACACACTAAAACTAATATTTGGAAAAAAGAGCAGAAGGCAAATAGCATGCCATCTCAAATTATTCTTGGGCTTCTAACCTAGCAATGTTTCTCAGCACAAAAGCTTCAGGGGTTAAACCAGTCAAGTGCTGTGGTGCTGATATCCTTGGGTGTGGCGGGAGTGCCTGCTGACGAGATGCGTGGAGTTCAGGTTGAGAACCACAGAAGGCGACCTCTGTCAGTACCATGCAATGGACACAAAGGGAACCTTGCTTCCCTGTAGGTCTGGAGTCCCAGGTCTGATGTGGATCAGAAGGATTTGTCATAACCTCTCGGTAGAACCACACTGACTCAGAGGTTACACAGAGCACACAATTGAGTGGGGCAGCCTCTCAGCTCTCTTCTTAACCAGAACAAGACCGCAGACCAAAAACCTGCACAAGCCTTGGTTTTCCCATCAGTTGAAAGAGGCTAAATCCTTTCTTTGCATTGG